CTTTAGGTCAGCTTTTTTGGCTGTAAGCACTTGAATTTTGTCATACTCATGCAGATGTTGCATTAATTCACTGAATGATGACCTGCAGCAAGCCAGCAATCTTTTGGTATAAATGTGGATGAGTTGGGGATTCAAAAAGAAATTATGAAACAAAATAGAGCGAATGTGTCTGCTTGCAGTGCTTGGATGCTTTTGTAGAAGAACCTGTGACCATCTCTTTCGTTGACGATCAGATGTTGTACCCTATGGATCTTTGATCAAGGACCTTATAATGTACTATATATACTATAATTGATCAAGTATAAATGACCAAATATAATCTTTCATATTTCTTACATCCTGCATTTTTCTTTTTTGGGTGAAGGGAATTCAAGTTTGTGCAAATGAAGGGCCATACCCTCTATGATCTATCTAGGAAAGATAATTCAGAATTAGTGAAAATTTGGTGGCATCATTTAAAAATCTTTTTAAGAACCACTGGGCCATAAAAGTTGAAATTAAATGAAACCTTTATCATGTAGTGTAGATTCAAGTTTGTTCAAATCATGACCCATGGGTGTAGGGTGTGGCCACAATGAACGGTCAAAGTTTTACTTAGGAATATATAGGGAAAAATCTTAAAAAATCTTCTTCACAAGAACAGCAAAGCCATGATTGGTCATATTAATATGGAAGCATCCTTAGGTTGTGTAGATTTAAGTTTGTTCAAATCATGACCCTGGGGGTAGGGTGAGGCCACAATGTGAACTAAAGTTTTACATAGGAATACATTCTTGGAAAAAATCTTTAAAAATCTTCTTCTCAAGATTGGTCATATTGATATGGAAACATCCTCAGGTGGTGTAGATTCAAGTTTGTTTAAATCCCCCCCTCCCTTCCTTTAGGGGTAGGTTGGGACCACTTGTCTTTCTAAACTTTTCAATACTGAACTGATTTCTGCTTTTTTCCTAGCCAGCAACAGTGCTCAGGTAAGCGATGTGGCCCATGGGCCTCTTGTAAGCTTATCTGAGCCAAAGGCTCATGTGAGATTTTCTGACTAAAAAGTGTCCGGCGTCGTCTGTGTGTTGTCTGTAAACTTTTCACATTTTCGACATCTTCTCAAGAAGCACTGGGACAATTTTAACCAAAATTTCTCTTAAAACATTCTTGGGTGAAGGGGCTTTAAGTTTGATCATAGGAAGTGCTATGCCCTCTTTCAAGGGGAGATATTTATTATAATTATATAAGAATTTGTGAAAATTTGGTGGCATCTTTTAAAAATCTTCTCAAGAACCACTGGGCCAGAAAAGATGAAACTAAGGTCAAAGCTTCAATATACTGCAGATTCAAGATTGTTCATATCATGCGGGGGAAGGGGGGGTTCAAAGTTTTTCAAAGGAGTGTTAGTAAAGATCTTGAAAAAATCTTCCTCTCAAGATCAGCTTAGCCATGATTAGTCATAATAATATAGAAGCATCCTCAGGTATTGTAGATTCAAGATTGTTCAAATCATTTTTAGCTCACCTAAACAAAGTCGAGATAAGTTCATGCTATACCCCCTGTGTCAGTGTTGGCATTAGCATCGGCGTCCTGATTAAAGTTTCAGGACCAGTTCCATTCCCAAGTAACTATAAGCCCTACCTGGACCAAACTTGCGTGGATGATGCATCTAGGGATGTACACTAACCAACCTGCTTTGGATGCTGGATCTGACCTACATGAGTTGAAATTTAGCCATATTTTAATCAAATTAGCATGGATGATGTATCTAGGGATGTACATTTCCAGACTTGCTTTGGATTCTGAATCTGACCTACATTTTCCGGATGAGTGACCAGGGTAATGTGTTTGGAGTAGCTATATAACATTATGGCCTGTTATGATTAAACTTGCATAGATGGTTCATCTAAGGATGAAAACTTCCAGACTTGCTTTGGATGTTGGAACTGACCAAAATTTTCTTGATTAGCAAACAGAGGTCTATTTCCAAGTAACTTTAAGTCCTACTCAAACCAAACTTGCATGGATATTGATCTTAATTGGCCTTACTTATAGATAACATTTGTCGAGGTTAGCTTCGTAATCTTTGATCACCATGTTTCTATAGATTTATTGATGTAATTACCAGAATATGAAGAAATTTGACTATACTTTGAGGTTCGATAAGCCCTGAGTTTTTACCGTTTCTACACACTTGACCTCACTATCAATTCTCACTTTTTGTTTACCTTAGTTTCATAGATACTGTTCAAGATATTTTTATTAAACTTCATAAACTACATGTATTATAATTTGGTAAAAAAAATCAACCTTTTCATAATTTTCTGACCTTGACCTTCCCTCTTGCCGTGTACTTCACTTTTTCTGATATTTCATTAAAGGTTGCATATTGGTAAGATTTCGGCAAATTATCATAATTTTCTAAGCATCGATCACCAGTTCCTCATGATTTTGATTTCACTATTCCTCATATTTCTCTTAGTTCAATTAAAGTTGAACAACACTGATATCTCCAATACCATGGATATGTCGAAGTGATTTACAAGTCCAAACCACTTATTCTTTAAGTATAATTTTACCCCTGATATCCCAAATTCTCTCGATTATTTTCTTGGTCCCATCAAGTTCGAGATAACGAGGTTAAACTGTACCTTAATTGAATTCCTTACACAGATAAATATTTGTAAGGCATTTGAACCATACCTTTTATGTATTATTTAAAAGATCATATCTAAATTTGCTACATGTTGAGAGAATGAACTTGAAACAATGAGACTTCATGTAAGTGTTAGATAGATAGGACAAATAAAAACTACATATATCATGCTGCAAAAAGAAACAACTGTGCTATATAGGTATAAAAAAAAAAAATGAAATCATTTCTTTCTTCATATTTTACTTTTGTGCAGACAAAAGAAAGAAGCTATAGGTCAATTTCTTTTAATGTTGCTATATAAATGTACCTTTCGAATGGAGGCATTGATGTCCCATGGTCATGTATAAAGAAGACTGATAGATAAATTTTTATTCAGTTTTTTTTTGTATCATTTGTTAAGCATATATTTTATTCCTTTTCAGCTGAAACAAGCCAGTGAAAGAAAAAGAAGAAAAAGCTTCAATAATCCCGAGAACATTGAAAAGTAAGTGAAGAGAGCTGGAGTTGTCTATCTTGTACTGCATGCATCAAACCAATTTAATAAAATTTATGAACATTTAATATACACTTGATCAGGTGCTCTAGTTTTATTTAGATGTTTATTTCATAAACAAACTATATCAGTATATATAAGGACATTAATCCTGATATGATTCCATCATTGTGGGAATTTCAATAAGATTATCAAACTAATGATCTATAAACATGCATGGTCATCATATCTTGTTAGGATTTTTAACATTTTTAAGTAGACACTCTGCCTAGGTGAATGATAATTTAGTAGATTTTAACATTTTTGAGATTAATTAAGTACATTTTTTAACTCACACTTTAAAAAGTCAGAAAATTGCTCAATAGCATTTTATTAAAGCTGCTTTTAATTGCTTAGTATATCATTTGTTTGCTGTACAAATACCATTTTTCCTAGCAACAAGATATTTTGTGTTATAGTTTAAATCTTTCTTCAAGAATCAAATGAATTAAGACTTATTTACTAATTTTAAAGGCCTTCGGTGATTGTTGTTGAGAGACAAGTTGTCTTCTTGTAATGGCCTCACTAGGTGACCTTAGAGGTTGGTAAAGGAATTACAAAATTAAATTACAGTAGGACAATGATTTGTACAAGTTCCTTATTGAAATACTGAGCAAGATAAACTCTTTAATGAACTCTTAAGAAAATATAAGATGACTTTTACCAATATTTACACACTGCTATATTGAATAGTGTCAGATGTAATAAGATTTGTCAAAATTGAGCTTACATTGAGACAGAACAGTTAAAAAGTTGAAAGGCTAGGTCAACAAGTTAAAATTTGAATTAAAAGCACCCTTAATGCACTTATATAATATATCAATGGGTTAAGAAACTGACAATGCATAATGTATCTCTCGACAATTCATTGCCATACGATTGAGTTCTCCTCCAAAGACTTTCATAGTTTTCTCACCATACTTGACACTATTGGGGAAACAATGATAATATGTTTAAAAATTTGGGATATATTGACAACTGAAGAGTAATTACTGTCTCCCTAAGTCAGTGCCAGATAAAAAGGGATTTGCATGCAAACAGCCGGGTTCGTCAAAGTCCTAACTTATCTATTCTGGGTTTGATCTCTTGAAAATGCCCTGTGCCTGACTTTTTGGACTTTTTGTCTTTTGGAAAAGTGGGATATATTTCACAGATTGAGTTTGGAATTTCTTTATTTATTTTTACCCTCTGGTGATAAATCATTCAGTAGATTTTTTTTTCACTTTGAATTTTACAATTTCTTACTTTGAAACTTTTATGACATGTTCTTCTGGTGCAGATCTCATTTTTTCAAGGTCTGATTTGAGATAATGTACTGTGTGACACTTCAGATTTGGATTTTGCTCTGTGTTCGGAAGCAGTTTTGTGTTAATTACCAGGGACATTCATTTGAATTTTCCAAATTAAAATTCTAAAGATTTGGAAGAACTGATACAGAAAAGTATGATCGTGATAATAGGCAATGAAAGGAGAGCACGGTGTTAATTCACAAAGCAATCAATAGACTCGGAAGTATCAAACACTTTATTTGAACGTCTCTTTTTAAATATTTTTCCTGATGATCATTTGCTTGTGCATATATTTGAGAAAACTTTATAATGAAGCTGGTCACACTTCAGAACTGCAAATAAATCAATTATTGATTGGAGACTTTATTTTGAAGTAATTCCTGAAAGTTTGTGTAGATTGTTGGAGAACCTCCTTATAAACAATTCAGTACGTTTCACCATTACTTTTAAACTGTTATCAGACTTTGACCATTATGGATTCGTGATTTTTATCTAACTCAAGAAAAGGTTCCAGGGACAAACAAAGAGATTTTCATTGGTGAAACGAGATTAATCTCAATTTCGGTGTTTATAGAACATTACATTCATGGTAGGTAATTAAAAGAGTGCATTATCCTTTTTGATCTGCAAATTCTTCATTTGAGAGAAATTCAGTCTTGGAAAAAAAGGGTACCACTGAACACAGGACTTGCTAATTACATAACAATGGAAAAAATTCCTAAGCAGGTGCTTTCTCGCACAACCTCTCAACCTGTATTCAGCAACTTGCCAACGGATCGTACTGATGAGAGGAAAATTACCTCCCCTTTATCTCTTCCACCACTGGAGGAGTTTGTGTCATTTACTGATTCACGCAGGCTGCACTCTGCCCCAGGGTTAAATGCTGAGGTGAAGAATGAACTGCTAGGTGGCTCAGAGGAGGATAATTCTGATTTATGGGAGGACTCGGATGAGGGGGACGTGGATGAGGAATTTTATGATATGATTCCCTCTCAACTTTATGCGAAAATTTTAAAAGAGAAAGACAGGATTCATAATGCAGACTCTGATGAGGAGAGCAGGTAAGAAATGTGTGAGAGTTGTCTCCCTTGACTTTCTTAAATATTCTGATTATTTTCATTAGGAGGTACTCCCATTGTGCTTTACCCCTTAAATTCCCTTTCTCATTGGTAAAAAAAAAACTTTTAAACAGAGAAAAAGGACAGATGATAAAAAATAGATTGAGATCATATTGACTCAAGGCCTATTAAGTCTCAACATTTCCAATATCACAGGTGTGTTCGTCCCTCAAGATTCCAGTTAGTGCAGTCGCTGCATGAACTTTTAAAAAAAAAAAAATGAAAAAATAATTGTTTAATTATGAATTCTTATATACAAAAGTACTTTCTCAAAGCTTCTCAATGATTTTTTAATAAAATTAGTTCAAGGGAAAATTTATGCATTGTGCCATATTGGATTTAGAACATGATAATTGAATTATTAAAGGGAATGTTTCCTCCTCTTTCACAAATGAAAAATATTTTATTCATCAATAAAAGGGATTGTTGGCTAAGGTGAGAAAAATGCCAATTGAATACATATGTAAAAAGCCATACTTAAAACAGAGTTTAGGTTTTATTGGTACATTGAAAAATAGTTTATGATCAATGAATTTGAGGAATACAGTGAAGATTAAACATTTATATTCATTGGATAAATTCAGACATGGTTAATGCCTTTTGGAATTTTCACCTTCAAAAACAGAAAAGGCTTTAAATACTTTTTTTTATAAAAAAAAAAATGCCATGCTGTTGAGGTTGTTAGTTCGCAGGCTGTAAAAAACTGTTTAATATTGTTAGCTTGAAAATCCTCGTAAAGGGCTATGATGGTGTATTTAGTATCTGGGAAATGTTAAACATAAAATGAGTTTGAATGGTTTAAGAAATCAATTTAACATAATTCATATAAGACTAGAATTTTTCATATAACTGGCAGGGAACTTTATTCTGAATAGGTATAATACTATGGACATAGGAAACCTAAAATTGGGTTGAGCATGCATGAAATGTTGTCTTTGAAGACGTGCAGAGTTTTAATGTTGAGCTATATCAACAATTCTGAATTGGTTTAACCTCAAAAACCAACTTAACTAAAAGGTTGAAAAGAGGAGTTTGTTCAGTATATAGCTTTCATGGAAAGGAATAGAGTTTGTGGATGTTGAGTGGACCTTCATGTAAAAAAACCATTGCACTGTTGAGATGGAAGATATTATATTGTGAGATTCGATTGATCCTTAAGGGAGGAAAATATAAGAGGACTAGAACGCACAGGTTTTTGCATTTAGATTGATTGTGGAGCAGGGACATCCTAGTGATAATTGGTCTGCAAACAGATTATATTAAAAACTAGCTGTCAGGATATACAGCATGGCGGACGACAGGTAAACACTGCAGATTGACTTTGTAATGTGTAAAATATTTTGTGGAAATACTTTTGTAGATTTGCTGTAACTTTTTCATAAAAATAATTGTATTATTTGACCCAATATTAAAAAAAGAGTATTCAAATGAATTCTATGACAAAGACACCAGGTAACTTTACATGTTTAATTAATATTGTATGCTCATGAGCTGCTAATGAAAATGCTTTGGAATATATTATGGAATGTGTATAGTTTCACCATGATTGAAATATGCACTGTAGTTTAATGTTGAGAAGAGGCTGCTTCTGTCTGTTTTTCTGTTTGTAAATCATGTTGTTGCAGTGACTGTACAATGTTCAAAAAAATTAATTAACAGATTTCTGTTGCCTTTTGGATAGATTTTCTTGCAGTTGCAAGTTAAAAAGAAATATAACTAAAGCCTTTTAATGCATTTTTGTGCATGCAATCTTTGGAACAATTATTTTATTAGATAAATCAAAAGGATTGTAAATAAGTTCTAATAACTTACAGGGATTTTTTTAGGGTCTCTCTGGGGCCGAAATTTGGCCCCATTCCCAATGCTGAAAAGTGCATGTTTTTCCCAAAATTATACCTAAAAATTCCCAATATGAAAAAAAGTAAGTTGTAAATTATTGAAATGAAAAAAACTTCAAAAATGACTAAAAGGTGTTTATGTTCTCTTTGTGTGATGTACGAGGCATGCGATGAGTTCGAGAAATATTCGGAGTACTACGGATGTTTGCATGTGTACATTTTAGAGCGGGTTCAATGTTTAAAATTGAAGTCAGGATTGTTATTTAATAAATAAACATGCATCATGTCAGTTTCTCCAGTTTCCCTAGGACGGTAATTTTCAGGATGGGTTGAATCCCTTATTCTTATAAATTGGTCGAACAATACCGATTAACCACTTATCTGGAACAATCTTACTATCAAAAATATTTTTAAAGAACTTCTTACTTTAATAAAGGTAAAAAAAGAATGACAACGTTGTATAAATATGTTCATTTACAATGTTATCATACCTGCGGCTTTACGATTTTTAAGGTTCTGAACTTCAACAGCAGCTATTATATCATATTTCACTAAAGCTGGTTTAGGCCAGCTTCATACTATAAATATTTAAAAAAATGATTAAATATTTGATTTTTGCTTGTTTTTTCCCATTTATTTGTATGTATTAAGATATTTTTTTCCCAAATTCAACCAAATACCACTATTTTTCCCAAACTGGATGGCCCCGGCCCCTGGAATCAAAGGGTAAAAAAATCCCTGACTTACTAATTCCTCTCCTCACCAACTGCATGTGCAATATGCTTGCAATGAAGTACATGTATAAGAGAACCATTTGACCTTTCATCCTTCCAGAGCTGCTAGGTTGTTTAGGAAAGAAACTTATTGATTTTAAGGTCAAGGTAATAGATGTCCACATGTTATGGACAAAATAAAAAATGATGATGTTTGGTTCTTGGATTAAAATCTCAATGTAAGGGATGTTCAGCTTTCTGGCCACAGGATCATGATACGTCTTAGGCTTAAGTCAAAATCTTGATGTTGTACTAAAATTTTGTAGAAGTCAAGCAGACCAAAATTAAAATATTTTTCAACATTGCTTCACAAAAGTCTTGTTATCTGCATGTTTAAGGATTAATTCAATAATTATAAATAAACATTTAAAGGCAATTGAAAATTTGACTTAATTTTAAGCCTGTTTCATGATTCTGGGGCCTGGTGTCCTTGTTTATAATTTTGGATTGATTGAGCTGGTTAATAAAAGAATAGATTAAAAATAAATCGACAATTGAGATCTGTTTACTGGCAAGAAAGTGTCAGAGATTATTTCTTTGATGTAACACTGTCCAATTCAGTGTGTTATTCAGTTTGTGAGATTTCCACCATTGTTTTGAGTTGATTATGGACACCTGCTTTTACACATATGTAAGATCCAAAATAGTATGTAACTATACACTCCCTTCTGTACAAAAAATCAATGCTATACACCCATCATTGATTGCTAAATAAATAAGTTTATATGAAAAGTTATGTAAAATACATATTCAAGTAGTCAATCAAATGTCTGAAATTTAAGTAGCTCTTCCAGGTATAATCAGTTCAACCTTGAAGATAGGTAAAGTAGAGTTACATCAGTAGTTATAGTCCTACTTGACATGACTGATATATGAGTATACTTATGTAGGCAATGTTTGTGGAACATTGAGATTACCGTTGGTTTCAAGGGTCCTTTAGATTTTGGGATTCCATTTTATGGACTCTTAGGATAACCAGTTGCATGATGGAAAATGGATTTTAAATTGCTGATTACAAGTTACTTAAACATTAGATTCTTACATATCTTCCTTGAATTCCCTGCAATTGTCTGTGTCTGTATACTGAGGTTTCAGAATCTTATTTATACCTCTTCTTGTTGATCTGAATTTACAGGTACATGTATTATTAAGATACATGTAAATATTCTTATGAAGTGTCTGAATTCCTAATGAAGATCTTGCAACCTCAATATGACAATCTTGTACTGCATGGATTGAAAATTGTCATTTAACCATAAACTAGAACATGTAGTTACATGAATATTAATTATGGTAACATGTTTTTATGTATTTCTAGGTAAAAATTTGATATTAAAGTGAACATGGGTTTTTATACTTGTCAAAGTTTGCTTGAAGGAAAAAGAAAATCATTTTAGCAATCACAAACTATAAGCTAGACCTATCCAGAGGTGCAGTTTTCTTTCAAATCATTTTCATCAAATGTGTGATAGAATCAGAAAGCTTACTACAACAGCTCCATACCTGGATGAAACCAAACTCTTTGGATGGAAATGTGATGGTATAGCGAACTGCTCCTAGCTCTCCTTTGGAAGAGAGTATTATGAGTCATTTGGAAGGGGATGTTAAACCACTATATTACAATTTTTATATAATCAATATGTTTGGCTTCTTGTACCATTGTGTTTTTGAGGTTGATAGAAACATATTCATCAACTCATCTGACACTAATAATGAAAGGAACTAGCTCTTCCTAATAAGTACTTTAACACTCTTTTTTATTTTGTTATGGTAACATACAGGTGTAAAGCCCCTCTTATAATGATTAGATCTTGCATTATTTTTACAGTTTCACATTTAAATCCACAACCCCCTGCATTACTTTCAATACAGGTATTCATAAACAGGTATTCTAAATTAAATTTGTCTATTCAACCTAAATTCAACAAACCCAACATTGTTCATTGTGTGGAATTTTAATATCATGCTCTACGAGTCTGAATAATTCAGTAATGTTTTAAATTTTTGACAAACAGAAGTTTGTGTTTTATCCTTTTCATTTTCAATGAATTGTATAGACTTAAAATGGTCTCTTTTGCTGCGCATGTGGTGGAACCATAGGTTGTAAGCGGATACCTACAGGGTCCATGAAAGGCTTTCACTTTGTGTCAGCCGTAGGTGGAAAATGAGCCCTTTAAAACCCATTAATTTGATCTGATTGACTATGGGCAGTACTCTTTAACTGTTTAATTGTTATTTTAATCAATGTTTGTCCTCTTTGAGAGGGAAATCCATGGACAAGGTTTTTATTCGATGAGACTTTTCTCCCATCTTTAAACGTCTGGAGGTTTAA